TATTTTAAAGCGTAGCAGTTAAATTAAATTTTAATTAAAAATGTTGAACTATCATAGCAAATAAAATAATGGTTCAACCAATAAAATAATTGATTGAACACCCTTGAGTAATAATCTAATACCTGTGACATTGAATAAAGTATCAGCAGAAGCCACCCGATGCTGCGTGGGATGAATCAGGTGGGCGTAAACTCGTACAGCATGGATGCCGGGTTTCTTTGTAAAAATGAATGATGCCGTCGCTGTCTCGTTTCCAGTGACCTCATCTACATTCCCAGTGTCGCTCTCAAACTCGAAAAGATAACTATGGCCAGAACAGGTCATTCTAGCGTATATAGTGACTGGAACATCTAAAGTCACTGGACCATCATTACTGACATTCAACTGGCACTCGTCTTCTGCCTTTAAAGAGAGAAGTAAGAGTTTTGTTTTTGTAGTTATCTTGAATAAACTTTAAACATACTAGAAAGTATGATCAACCATCTAATAGAAGTCAACATTCGACTAGGACTAAAACTGAACTTAAAATCTCGAGTCGTCTTAACTGAACTTAAAGCGTAGAAAAAAATCAACGTCAAATGAGTAGAATTCGAAGATTTTCTTTGACTTAAAAATGGATATCAACATCAAGTATGACTGAAGAATCTTTCTTTTTTCAAAAATAGCCTCTTATATATTATGAAGAAGGAGGGTGAATATTGCACGTCACTTACTTATGGATTCACTTCCACCGAAAATACTCCTTATGTGCTAAGCTAAAATAAGCATTGAGAGCATTCGATGCCATGGCGAAATTGTCTGGAAGAACAGACGAATTCACAAATAACGTTTTCGTGATATCATAAATCGAAGGTAATGAGTATTAATGGACATGTTCTCGGAATTAGCCTTTCCACTATGTTGACACACCTAATATTTCAAATGAGAATTGCAGGTATACACAAAGAAAAAACAAACAAAAGGCAATATATTGTAGGGTAAGTCGGGGAAAGAACTTTGAAGCATATTAGAATTTCGAATGTATAAATTCCTAAGCAGAACGTTGCTAACAGTACTATACATTGTTTTTTCGCTTTTCTTTTCAACTCATTTTTCACGTCTACTATTTATGAGACTACCTTTCCATGATCGAATGTTTCTTGTATCAAACGACGCGGCCACGATGAACAATGAAGGTAGATCAAGCTCTGCCATTGGATGGTTTTCTCAGGAAACTATTGAGGTCAGTCATCCATTAAGAATATATAATAATCCATGATAGAATGTTTCTTGTAACTTATTAATATAATATTTATTTTTGAATTCATCATATTGAATTAAAGCTCCCATTTTCGCTCAATTTCTGTTGTTAGAAGCTCTTTAAGACCATTTTTATGATCTTAATTGCTAGTCTAGAAATTAAGGAATTTATTATTTAAGAATCAACTATATAGTCCATTCAAATTATTATGAATGGTTACAAAATATAGGGTAGTTTCAAATTTTTAACATGTTGTCTGAGAAGGTTCTGATTTCACAGCTTGAAAAAAAAACGTTTTGATTATTTCTTATTCTTTTCTTCAAAAATCACTCAAAGTATTGGTGTTACAAAAAATTGTAAATTGCGGTTTTTACTTAACTGAAATATGTACAATTTGAGACCAATGTAAAGTTTGTAGCTGTAATACTTCTTGAAATAGAGCTCTTTGAATTTTAGCATTTTTACAAAAAGCATGAAAGTTTTTTAGTTTTAGTAAATTATTACTTGATATCAACTGAAAAGTAAATATTATATGATGTAGAAGCAATAAATATTTGAAAATATACTCTAAAATAGAATGGGTGGAATATTTTTAGAATTGGGATTAAAAATATTTTTAAAACCATACATATATACATTATACAACTTATATTAATATTGTATTCTCATCGAATAACATTACATTGGTTCTAATCATTCACAATGAAGATCCTCTCTCGACATCTTTTTTATTCAAAATAATTTGCATTGTTATTTCCGTAAGCTTGTTTATTGCAATATATAGAATAGTGTAAACTTTATTTTCTGTATCCGTTCCAACTATCCTTTTTTACAAGTTTATGAGAAATATTGTAGAAGTGAGTTCGTTCACTATCAGCTTTTCCGAAGACGAGGCCTGATGAAGATCCCGATTCAAGGGTTCTTTCTTAATGGGGACCAAACATGTCTGCAACTGGTTGTGGCTTCTCAAGAAATGTAATTTGTCAACGTTTGTTGATGGCAATCTTGCTAAAGTGAAAAGAGTTTAAGCAAGATCTATTATAAATTTGAACTACCACATTTCATCAAGGTTTTGAGTAGTCAGATAAACTTCATTTAACGAAACTAGGATATTTTACTCTGTTGCTTGGAGAATAAGGAATGATGCTGTTTAATCTGAAGTTTTCTATACTGCACAAATAATCTGATTAATTAGTTTTACCAAGGACAAGCAACCTTGCCGCACACACTGATAGTATGAATAAGCATAATGCAAATTACATTGTTGAATTTGTAATTGGTTTAGCAATGTGACCTCATCCTGTACTTCTGGAAAAAATGTTATCGTATGTTGGTGACAATGCTGTGAGAAGGTTAATGTCCGCACCAACTACAAGTACAGAGTTATACCCAGAAGCTACAGAAATGGCAGTTGTGCCTATCATTAGGCCAGCATCTGCCTCTTGCATCTTCTTGAGCAGTCTTCTGATTACTTTCATTTGTAAGAAAATGTTTTCTTTAGTTTATAACACCGTTTCTTCTTCAAGCATAATTTCAGGAAGAAAATGAGATAGATTCATTCCCAATTTTCAGTAACACCCTCTTTCTCGTTATATTTATGCAAAAAATGAATGCCTCTCTGAAGAAGATGTCTTTTCACAATTTTTCGCAGCAAGTAATCGACCAGAACACAGTGGGGGTTCTTCAGGTATGACATTCTCTGTACATGATGATGAATATAATTAAGATTTTTTTGAACTAAAGTGACTGGCTGCTTTGCTAAGTGAGTCCGACTTAGGATGTATTCTTCGTAACTTTTGTTAACTATTACACTAATTCCATCGCAACAAATTATGCAACTGTCAAGGAATGCAGCTATTTATCTCCTCTACATTTATCATTATGAAACACGTTGTCATAGTATTCCCCTATTAGTTGTTATCGAACCTATCAAAAATTAGAAATTTTCTAGCGTTTTGTATAATAACTTGGAACTTCAAGGAGCTTTATCTTGAAGAAATATTGCTACTACAATCCTCCTATTTGATCCAAGATTATAGATAATTCAGTTAAGTAAAATATTTTCAAATATTTTTTGTAACACCAATACTTTGGGGAGTATTTCGAAAAAAATCGGTGACAATTCAGGGATTTTTTCAACATGGCTCTGCGCGCAGAGCTCGGGGAAACTGGAAAACGTGAATTTTTATCACATTACCTTGTCAGACTACAGATTAAAAAATCGAGCTTAATTTATTTATAAATGCTGTTAGATTACAGAACTATTTAATTATCCTTAAAACAAAAACATAGAATTTTAATTATTATAATATTTCATTGTTTAGAAAAAAAATTAAATTAGTTTAAAATAAAAAAGCAAATTACATAAAAAAAATAAAACTTTCGTTTCATTTTATTTAAAGATAATTATCTTTCCTCATTTCAGTTCAGATATTAAGCTTAGGTAATTAGCTTTGAACTGAAATTATTCAATTTATAATGCTGAAACTAAAATTTAAATTGTAAGTACTATTTAAACTGTGAATTTTATTGAGGATGTTTATTTTGAAATAAATTAAAGCAGTTAAAGAAAAATGCAGTAGTAGTTTATTTACTGGAACTATACAATGGGCTTTTGACGGTAAGCATTCCCAGCTTCCTGAGGTAGATTTTCGATTTTGATCCTCTAAAGAAAATATAGATTTTTTTTTAATGTCCTTCTTTTTCAGATTAGTTGAGTTACCCTTCACATACGCACTTTTTAAAAGTGAAGAATAATAGTAGTGACCACATTTATTGTTGTATTCATATAACTAATTGATGTTATCCAATTCGGATGTGGAGATTTTAAATTTGAAATTAATTTGGTTCGGAAAGCTAAAATTTTTCTGCTTAGTTTATTTTTTGTGTGAGATTATAAAGAATGTATAGGTTAATGTTCATAGATGTACACTTGTCAGCTCCTATGAAAATAACACGTGAGATTAAATACCTGTGACCTTGACGTATCGTATCATAAACAGAGATGTAACATCGCCTTCTTCCTACCACTTCATAAGCAGCATAAAATTGTATAAAAATAGACTGAAATATTCGATTAGGATAGATTAACATCCATTTTTGGATTACCAGGCAACTGCATACCGGGTAGTTGCACTTAACCTTAAAAAACACTAGCGTAGGAAATACCGGGCACTGGTGCTTAATTTTTTTTTTAAGAAAAAGCAGTGATGGGAATACTGGGCAATATCACTTAACTTTAAAAAATATCAGTGTAAGGAATATCGTCAATGGCACTTAACTTAAAATAAAAATCATTGTAGGAAGCAGTGGGCTAAGATTTGTAATTTTACAATAGGGCATAGAAACTGACTATTATTCCCACATCTACCCGGTATTCTCAACACTGATTATCGATCTTAATCGTATATTAAATTATCGAATAAATATTTAAATTAATATCAAACCACATTTAACATTCGTTTCAGACATTTATCGAACCGATTATGTGATAGCTGACATTCATCGGTGAAAGTCGACACTCACCAATTTTGGTCTTTCACAGTGACATATATAGCATCGAAATTTTGTTTCAGGTGCATTTTTTTTCTGGCCAATCTGTGAATCATTCCTTTTATATCATAAAAATTTTGACTGGAAGTAATAATCCTTTTTAAGACATTTTTTTCTTTGTATGATCACTTTGAGGAACTAAATATACAAAAATTATTAAGTCTGAAATTTTAAAATGAAAATGGGACATAGATTCTAAATGTTTTTTTACGCTATAAAAATAATTAAATGTATGATCATTATACTTTAAAAGGAAATTATTCTACAAAAATTGGTAATTTGCTTAGTCAAAAATAGAAAATATAAACTATACTACTTATTCACTTATAATGATTGCAAAATATATAAAATTAAGACAAGTAATCTCACCGTGTTTAAGAATCAGTAAGTTTTTATCATTAAATGAAATAAAAAGTAGTTTGCTTTTTAATATAAATAAAAATGCAAATTAAATTGCAAAAAGAAGAAAAAAATTAATAGTCGTTCTAAGATTCTCTTTTAATTCATTAAATTTTTAAAATAAAATTACGACTTTAAAAAAATAAAAAGTATTTCACTAAAGAGCATACTCATCCTAACTAACATATCAAAAGTAATTCTTAATTAATAATGCACATCACAAAAGATGCGAAAAAAATGACTAGCTCAAATTACTGACTTTTTAAATATCAGTCATTTTTCAATTTTTATTTTGTTCCCTTGTAATTTAGTAAAATAATTTAGTAATTTAGTAAAAACGTTTCTTAGAAATACAGTAATATTTTGTAAGATAAATTCTCAAAAAAGACAAAATTTTTCGTAAAACTGAAACTAGTGTGATTTTAGAAAAGTTAGCTGTAATAAGTAAATTTCATTTGAAAAGTAAGTGAACACCTAAAATGCCATAAATTTTTCAGAAAAAGTCTTTTTGTAAACATTTTCATTCAGTTTCAATCCGCATTAATGATACACTTTTGAACTTAAAGAGCCTTCTCTATAAAAATATTTTATTGCCTCTCTCGCCTAAATGAAGAAAATGTTGAATTTGACAATATTGATAATTTTCTTATTGAGTTAAAAATAATGTACCTGTCTCCACTCAACTTAATACCTCCTCTAAAAAGATTTCCTAAATACTGTTTTAGAGCAATTTCCATTATTTTTTACATACCTTACTGAAAGAAATCACATTCAGGAAGACAACACACGAGTAAAATAACATTTTCTGTCTTCGCCATGATTTTCTGGCCGCACCTGACAAAGTTTTTTCACCTGTTGTTGCTGCTTCTGCAGCTGCCGCATATTATCTCTTTTTTCCCTCGTTAATTCCCTTTTCTTCAGAAAATAGTACCTACATGACTTTTAAATGCTTGCGAATGCACTATTTTTCCATTGTAATGCAAAATATTGTAATAATTTCCAAATAAAAATTTTTTGTTAGCGAGTGTACATTTTTACGTATAACAAATATCGCTTTAAAGTTATATCAGTTATCTCCATAACGAATGAAATGCATGCTAGCCATGCCTTCATTTGAATTATTCTGGTTCTTTTAAAAAAAATTTATTTACATAATTACTGACTAAAAAGAAATAGCTTATACAAAATTTTAATTTTTTTTTCAATAATGTCCATGTATTTTACAGACTTGAATTCATTCCATCCTGAAGACAAGGGTTTGTGTTAAACCTCTTATGACAACTTTAAATAATTTCATGAGAACGGTTCTTGCTCAAGAATTTCTTGAGAATAAAGCTTAAGAAAGGCATCGAAAATAAAGGTATCTTATTTGGCACACCACACTGCTTGAAAAACAAACAAATGCAGCATTCTTTCCTTAGCATCTATGCCCAAAATTAGCTGCCATTGTAAAGGGTCTTACCTTGTCGAACGTAGCCCCTTTACTAAATCTAGACAACACTTTCAATGACTATTAATGCAGTCATTCAAAAGTTGCGACTGTATCTGACTTCAGTAGATACTTTTTTAAAGTTTTAGTCCCTTCTAATTTGGAAAAACTTCAGTTGGTTAGTTCTCGGATGTGAGATTGTTGAGTGTGCTGACAGTACGTAAGCTTAAAAATGAGATGAATGATGTTTAAGACTTCGTGCGCGATATTCCCCTAAGCTTCTTATTTTGAAATTTTTAGGACGGAGTTTCTAATTCTTTTAACAAGCCTATAGCAAACCTATCTACCGATAGCAAATATATTAAAATCACAATTTTTTCCCCTTCTTTTTCCACTGGTTTCAGAACTTTGCTCTAAGTCTCGGAAGTGATAAAGTAGAAAAAATCATGCCAATTTTAGCTTTTATAGTTTAAATTAAAAACTTTACGAGCATTCCAAATTACGAAAGCTAAAAATAGCATATATCTAAAAAGGCAGAAATGAAAAAAAAAATGCGAAAATTGAATAATGGTTTTTTGACATCAAAAGTTGATTTTTGTCATGACAAACGTCGAGGCTGTTAAAAACTATCCAAAAACTAGGATGATACTTAAAAGACAATAATGTCTTAATTGTTTTTAAATAGTATATTGAACTCTTAAACTAATATAAATAATAAATATATTAAGAATAATTGCAATTTGAAGTAGAATAAAGCTATAAGTTAATTATTATTTAATAACTATACTTAATAACTATTATACTAAATAACAATTATACTTAATAACTATTAACTCTGTAATAGATAAAAATGGTCAGGTTTTTTTCCAATGACAAAGCTGCAGCAGATGGCCTTGAAGCCTACTACCAGGAAACTAACAAGTTGGATTTTACAAGGGAGAATAAACCTGTTTTGAGAAAAGCTAAAAACATCATTCATGGCTGTCGAAGCTTCGATTTGGGTAACTGAGACTTATCTAAAAACTTCTCACTGCAGGAATTACTCCTTGCAATGGTCCTTCTTGACCTGACAAAACCTCCTGGCCCAGATGGAATCTTTGACCAAATGCTGGAAAATATCGGCTACCAAGGAAAGCAGAGGCTATTAGATATTATCAATCTCTCTTAGAAAACTGGACGCCTTCCATATGACCGGAAAAGGGCCACTGTAATCTCCATAAAGAAAACTGGCAAAATACTTGGGGCCGTATGGATTTCAAACCGATTGCACTGACTAGCACAGTTTGCAAAATTATGGACAAAAATGATCTTGAATAGAATGCAATACTTTCTGGAAAGTAAGAACTTAAGGCCATGCGAACAATTTGGCTACAGAAGGGGCCATAGAACCAATGCTCAAGTTCTATTTTTCTGCCAAAACATTAGAGATGCACAAAATATAAAGCCTACCCACCACACAATCGGTACTCTCTTAGATCTCACAAAAGCATTCGATAGAGTGTGGAAACATAAATTGTTAATTAAACTGCATGATATCTTCAACATTCGTGGCGACATCTTGCCATGGATCTCGGATTTCTTACATCACAGGTCAATCAGAGAAAAATTTACCAAAACTTTTTCTGACCGAGTTGAGCATAGACAGGGAGTTCTTCAAGGTTCAGTACTCAACCCAATGCTTTTTTCTCTATATTTAGCTGGCATAGAGAAATTATCACCCACTGGTGTAGAAATTGGCTTGTTTGTCGACGACATTATTCTCTGGTGCTCTGGTACCAATTTAATTGAAATGGAGAGGAACCTTAACAGTACTCTTTCTGCATTGTCAAACTTTGCCCCGGAATTTAAACTCTGTTTTAATCCTTCCAAATCCATTGCCACCTTTTTTTACCACCAATAAAAGATTATACAATTTCCAGCCAAAATTAAAAATGGGTAACCAGGACTTTGCTTAGGAGAAGCATCCTAAATATCTGGGATTTATTTTAGATCCCGAATGGACAAGCACATTGAACATATTGTTTTCTCAAAAGGCAGAGTAAGATTAAATATTCTTAAATACATAGCGGGTAAAGACTGGGGAGCTGATGCTTTCACTCTGAGAAATACATATATAACATTTATTAGGCTCATCTTATGGTTTCCCTGTTTATAGCTGTGCCTCATCCACCAACTTGGATAAATTGGAGAAGGTTAAACTCAGTGCTGCTAGAATTATTACTGGACTAAGACGCAGCTGCCCTAGAGAAGTAGTTCTCTATGAGGCTAATTTCCAACCACTCCAAACTAGAAGAAAAACCAACCTTACCAAATATTTCAACAAACTTTCCAGCTACGGTCAGCATAATAGAACCTTCCTATATTTAAACAACTGGGATAACAATCAAAGACTTAAGTAAAATAGTCCCTACAGTCAGACTAAACTTCTGCGTTTGCCTTATAATGGAATTGAGCCCCACTCCTTAAGATCTTGTCTGAATACCTCAGAGGAACTCCCAAGAGTTCGTTTCAACTTCGATTTTACAACCCCGTTCACCAAGAAGGACTTGATCCCAGCTCATCTCAGACAGTTGGCGTTAGAAAGCATAAATAAGATCCTCGACAATGCCATAACATTTTTCATGGACTGCAGTAAACTGGATGACCACGCAGGCAGTGGCATCTACATTGAGAAACCAGGGAATAGACTGTCTATCTGCCTCCGCAACCCGGATTTCTCATCGGTCTTCAAGAGTGAATTAATAGCAATTGAAGAAGGCTTTGAAGCTGTTCTTAATGAAAATGACTTCGGGGAATTCTGGATCCTTTCGGACAGTCGCAACTCTCCTCAACACCTCCGCAACTGGATTGCAGTTGGAGATCAAACTAGCATTTCTATCCTTCGCAAACTCAAGCTCATTTCTAAATTTCACGATGTTTATTAGTGGATTCCATCTCATGTTGACATATACGGCAAATAAGCAGGCGGATGAACTTGCCAAGGAGGGATGTTACCACGCTGATCTTTCCTCTTCAACACTTACCTTTTTAGAACATCAATCCATAGTTAATTCTGAAATTTCGAAGGGCTGGAATTTTCCTCCCTGCCATCATTGGTATGCGGGCAAAAGAGCCAGGTTCTTCATTCGCCCTCAATTGTGACAGAGCTTCTAAAACCGTAATTTCCAAATTAGCAAGTGGTCACACAAAAAGTCTCTTGTTTTTTGAAGGCAGGAAAATCTTCGAGGTCTTCTCCAAATGTCAAACTGAGCAGGCTTCTCCCGAACTCATCCTGGTCTGTTTGGGACTTTCTAGAGAGGACATATACCCTTTTGGTTGTCGATTTTCCTAGGGTCAACGGTTTGATGGACCTCGTCTGATTTCGTCAGGCATTTCGAGGATAAGCCACAACAACAATAACTTAATAATTATTAGACTTTTTAAAAAAATTATATCTCATTTTAAAATTTACTTTAAAAGAACTATTTATATCTAAACTGTACACTTAACCTTTTATTGTGCAAGGATGTTATTTGAATATTGGGCCGACTCCTCTTACTACAACAACCTTACTCAACTTGTTTTTTTTAAAACTTAATTTTTTGCTTAGTTGAGTTAAGAACATCAAAAATTGGACGGCCAAGGAGAAAAAAAGGCTGATTAAGCTTAATGGCTCATCAGCACTTCGAAATGAATAAAAAAAGATGGAGTAGGGCCACCATTCAACATGCAAAATTACATCTAAATTTCAGAGACATGTTTTAAATCTTGTGTATTCACTGCATAAATAAAATGTCATAACATAAATAAACTGAAAATATTGTTTCTCCAGCAAGGTGTGATAGACAATTATTGTTCATAATTATTCGTCAAAAAAGCATTCTGGGCCATCGAAAGATCTTTGGATACTATGTATCGCGATATATGTTATCGATTATAATGATTATGATGACTAAAAAAATATCGGTATTATATCTCAATATCTTAATCTAAGCATTTGATGCCCTCGAGTTGCGAGAAGATATTCGTTTTAATCTATTTCGATAGGTAGTTCAACATAACTCTATAGATTAGGTAACTAAAATTCAGGAAGAAAGAAAACTATTGAATCCTGGTTTTAAGCGTAACCAAATGGATCAATATATCATATTTTTTTACCCAATAGAAAATCTAAGTTTTATTTAAAATTTCTTACATCAGTAGATAGTCACGTATTTTTTGGTATGACGCATGAAGTTTGTAAAAATTCGATTAAAACACTTAGTTCAAAGTTCTTTCTTAAAGGAAAATCACGACGAAATTATAAAAACCAATATTTTTATACTTTTACTGTACATAATTTAAAAGTTAGAAATTATTTTACTGAAACTATAAGCTAAATATATCAATAACAAAGATACAAAGAAATTCGCTATGCCCTACAAAGGAATATTATAAGCCTTCGCAAATTGGAACACCACTTTTT